GCTGGTATAATCATTATGAAAAGCAGCCTGGCGATTTTTAAAGGAATTAAGAATGGGGGGGGGGGGGGAGGAGATATATGTACTACTATATGTAATACTTTAAACAATTAAAAAGAAAAAAAATAGGGCTACCAACCCCTCTCCTGGGTATATAACCAAAAAACTCAGAATCATTTATATGCAAATATATATGCACCCGTATATTCATTACAGCTTTATCCATGGTGAGCAAGACATGGAAACAACTTAAGTACCCTGTGATAGAGGACTGGATAAAGAAGATGTGGTCTATATACACAATGGAATACTATTTGGCCATAAGAAAGGATGAAATAGCGCCATTTGCAGCAACATGGATAGACCTTGAGAATACTATGCTAAGTCAAATAAGTCAGTCAGAAAAAGCTAAGAAACATGATTTCACTCACATGTGGGATATAATTCTGAAACTTGTGAACACAAACAGCAGTGTGGAGGCAGAGGGGGTCCTAATATATAGTGGATGGAGAAGATTTGAATTTGGTTGGTGGTCTCATGGTGCAATATACAGATTTTGTAACATAAAACCCACACCTGAAACCTATATGTTCATATTGACCAATGTCACCCCAATAAATTTAATAATAATAATAATAATAATAATAATAATAACAATGATTACAACAAAACACAACCTCAGAAGAAGGCAGCGAAATAAATGCAGCAGTGTCAGGCACTGCTATTTCAATATGATAACCAATATTTTTGCTTTCATTTGTGAATTCTTTCAAGTTTATATGGAAGCATACAATAAGGGTTTACTCAAAAGACTTAGAAATTAGTTTGACTTAGTGTAATAATAACATTTGACTGTTTCTATGATTTTATATTTTATTTATTTTTTATGTTTGTTTTTATTATTTTTAATTTTTTAAATTTAATTACTTTTTAAAAAATATTAAAAATAGTAGTATATATGTCTCCTTTTTCTCCTGATTGACCTTTCACCAGCCTCTCCTACCCTCTGGCACATGTCCTCACCCCCCACACCCCAGTGTCTTACATCCATTGGATATGCTTATATGCATGCATACAAGTCCTTCAGTTGATCTCTTAACTCCTCTCCCAACCCTCTCCAGCCTTCTCGCTGTAGTTTGACAGTATGTTCAATGTTTCTTTGCCTCTGTATCTATTTTTGTTCATAAGTTATAATATTCTTTATATTCCACAAATGAATGAGATCATGTGGTATTTCTCTTTCACTGATTGGCTTATTACTTTTAGCATAATGCTTTCCAGTTCTATTCATGCTGCTGCAAGTGATGAGAATTCTTTTTTTTTAATAGCATCTTAGTATTCCATTATGTAGATGTACCATAATTTTCTAATCCACTCATCTGATGATGGGCATTTAGGCTGTCTCCAAATCTTAGCTATTGTAAATTGTACTGCTATGAAATAGGGGTACACATATCCTTTCTGATTGGTGTTTCTGTTTTCTTAGGATATATTCATAGAAGTGGAAAATGGCAGTTCCATTTTTAAATTTTTGAGGAAACGCCATACTCTTTTCCACAATGGCTGCACCAGTCTGCGTTCCCACCAACAGTGCACAAGGGTTCCTTTTTCTCTACATCCTTGCCAGCATTTGTCATTTGTTGATTTGTTAATGACAGTCATTCTGACAGGTGTGTGGTGGTACCTCATTGTTGTTTGATTTGCATCTCTAGAATGATTAGTGACTTTGAGCATGTTTTCATATGTCTTTTGGCTTTCCGAATGTCTCTTTCAAAAAGTGTCTATTTAGATCCTTTGACTATTTTGATTGGATTATATTCCTTTTGTTAATTTGTATGAGTTACCTATAAATGTTGGAGATTAAACCCTAATTGGAGATAACATTATAACATTATCATATATGTTCTCACATGCAGTGGGCTTTCTTTCTTTCTTTAAATTTTTTTTTATTTTATTTATTTATTTATTTATTTTTTACAGAGAGGAACAGAGAGTTAGAAACATCAATGAGAGAGAAACATCGATCAGCTCCTCCTGCACACCTCCTACTGGGGATGTGCCCACAACCAAGGTACACGCCCTTGACTGGAATCAAACCTGGGATTCTTGAGTCTGCAGGCCGATGCTCTATCCACTGAACCAAACTGGTTAGGGCTGCAGTGGGCTTTCTTGTTGTTTTGTTGATTGTTTCTTATGCTGTGCAGAAGCTTTTTATTTTTATGTAGTCTCATTTGTTTATTTTCTCCTTAGTCTCTCTTGCCCTAGAATCTGTCTGTAAAGATATTGCTATGACATATGTCTTCAATTTTGCTGCCTATGGAGTCTTGTAAAACTTTTATGGTTTCCTGTCTTACTGTACATTAAAGTCCTTTGTCCATTTTGAGTTTATTTTTGTGTATGGTGTAAGTTGTTGATCTAGTTTCATTTTTTATTGATTAAGGTATTACATGTGTCCATATCTCTTCATTGCCCTACCCCACCCCACTCCCATACATGCACTTACCCCCCCAATGTCTTGCATCCATTGGTTATGCTTCTATTCATGCATACAAGTTCTTTGGTTGATCTATTACCTCCCCAGCTGTAATTTGACAGTCTGTTTGATGCTTGTCTGCCTCTGTATCTATCTTCTTATTCATCAGGTTATAATGTTCTTTATTAGCCCTAAATGAGTGAGAGCATGTGGTGTTTATCTTTCACTGACTGGCTTATTTAGGTTAGCATAATGCTTTCCAGTTCCATCCATGCTACTGCAAATGGTAATAATTCCTTCTTTTTTAAAGCAGCATAGTATTCCATTGTGTAGATGTACCATATTTTTCTGATCCAGTCATCTGCTGGTGGGCATTGCCCTGATTCCAAATCTTAGCAATTGTAAATTGTGCTGCTATGAACATAGGGGTGCATATATCCTTTCTGACTGCTGCTTCTAGTTTCTTGAAATATATTACTAAAAGTGGAGTCATAGGGTCAAATGGGAGTTCCATTTTTAGTTTTATGAGGAAACTCCATACTGTTCTCCACAGTGGCTGCACCAGTCTTCGTTCCCACCAGCAGTGCACAATGGTTCCTTTTTCTCCACATCCTAGCCAGCACTTGTTGTTTGTTGATTTGTTGATGTTAGCCATTCTGATAGGTGTGAGATGATGTTTTTATCTCCCCTCCCCAGCCTTCCCATTGTAATTTGACAGTCTGCTCTATGCTTCTCTGAGATGGTGTGAGATGGTACCGCATTGTCATTTTGATTTGCATCTCTTGGATGATTAGTAACTGAGCATGTTTTCATATGTCTCTCGGACTTTCTTATCTCCTCTTTGTAAAAATATCTGTTTAGGTCTATTGCCCATTTTTGATTGGATTGTTTATCTTCCTTTTAAGTTGTATGAGTTCCCTTTAAATGTTGGAGATTAAACCCTTATAGGAGATAATATTGGCAAGTATGTTCTCCCATGCAGCGGGCTTTCTTCTTATTTTTTTGATGGTTTCTTTTGCTGTGCAGAAGCTTTTTGTTTTGATGTAGCCCCATTTGTTTATTTTCTCTAGTTTTTATTGCCCGAGAAGCATTATCAGTGAAGAAATTGCTTCAGCATATATTATATAATATCTGAGATTTTTCTGTCTGTGGATTCCTCTAATGTTTTTAGTTTCCTGTCTTACATTTAAGTTGTTGGTCCATTTTGAGTTAATATTTGTGTATGGTGTAAGTTGGTGTTTCAGTTTCATTTTTTGCATGTATCTGTCCCAATTTCCCAACACCATATATTGAAGAGACTCTCTTGACTCCATTGTATGTTCATGCCTTTTTTGGTCAAATATTAATTGAGCTTAGTGGTTTGGGTTGATTTCTGGGTTCTCTATTCTATTCCATTGGTCTATATGTCAGTTCTTATGCCAATACCAGGCAGTTTTGAGAACAGTGTCTTTGTAATACTTGATAGCTGGTATTGAGATTTCCCCTACGTTGCTCTTGTTTCCCAGAATTGCTGCAGCTATTCTATTTTTTTTTTATACCAGATGAATTTTTGGAGAGTTTGTTCTAGGTCTGTGAAATATGCTCTTGCTATTTTAATGGGAAGTGCATTGAATCTATAGTTTTTTGGGGTAGTTTGGACAATTTAATGATGTTGATTCTACCAATCCATGAATACGGTATGCTCTTCCATCTATTTATGTCTTCCTCTATCTCTTTTTTTCAATTCTATAGTTTTCTGAATAGAGGTCTTTTATCTCCTTATTTAAGTTTATTCCTAGATATCTTAATATTTCTGGTGTGATGGTAAATGGGATTGTTTTCTTAGTCTTTCTTTCTGTAAGTTCACTGTTGGTGTATAGAAATGCCATATATTTCTTGGTGTTAATTTTGTATCCTGCTACATTGCTAAATTCATTTATTAGATGTAATAATTTTTTTGATGGAGTCTATAGGGTTTTCTATGTACTGTATCATGTCATCTGTGATAACTGACAATTTTATTTCTTCTCTTCCAATTTGGATGTCCTTTATTTCTTCTTCTTGTCTGATTGCTGTGGCTAGCCCTTCCAGTACTATGTTGAACAGTAGTGGTGAAAGCAGGCATCCCTGTCTTATTTTTGTTCTTATCCAAAACGGGTTTAGTTTTTGCCCATTAAGTATGATGTTGGCTGTTTGTTTGTCATATAAGGCTTTTATTATGTTGAGATATTATCCCTCTATTCCACTTTGCTGAGCGTTTTTGTCAGAAAAGGGTGTTGGATTTTGTTAAATGCCTTTTCTGCATCAATTGATGATTATGTGATTTTTGTCTCTCACTTTGTTTATGTAATGTATCACATTTATTGATTTGCAAATATTGTACCATCCTTGCATCCCTGGGATAAAGCCTACTTGGTCATAGTGTATGATCTTTCTGATGTACTGCTGGATCTGATTTGCTAGAATTTTGTTGAAGGTTTTGGCATCTATGTTCATGAGGGATATTGGCCAGTAATTCTCTTTCATTGTGTTATCTTTATCTGGTTTTGGTATTAGGTTGATGCTGGTTTCATAGAATGAGCTTGGAAGTGTTCCTTCTTCTTGAATTTTTTGTGATAGTCTGAGAAGGATTTGTTTTCATTCTTTGAATGTTTGGTAAAACTCCCTGTGAAGCCAGGGCTTTTGTTTGCCGGAAGCCTTGTGATTACTGTTTCAATTTCAACAGTAGTTTTGGCCCATTCAGGTTTTTTGAATCTTCCTGATTGAGTATTTGAAGCTTGTATTTTTCTCAGAATGTGTCCATTTCATCGAGGTTGTCCAGTGTGTTGGAGTAGAGTTGTTCATAGTATTTTTTAAAATAATCCTTTGTAAATCTGTGTGGTCAGTTTTTACATCACATCTTTCATTTCTGATTTTGTTTATTTGGGCCCACTTTGTTTGTTTGTTGGTAAACCTTGATAGATGTTCATCAATCTTGTTTGTCTTTCAAAGAACCAGCTCTTGGTTTTTGTTGTTGTTTTTTTATTGAATTTTTTTACAGAGAAGAAGGGAGAGGGATAGAGAGAGAAACATCGAGGAGAGAGAAACATCAATCAGCTGCCTCCTGCACATTTCCTACAGAGGATGTGCCCACAACCAAGGTACAAGCCCTTGACCGGAATCATACCTGAGACCCTTGAGTTTACAGGCCAATGCTCTATCCACTGAGCAAAACCGGTTAGGGCAGCTCTTGGTTTTTTTGATCTTATGTATTTTGGGGGGGTCTCTATTTATTTCTGCTCTGATCTTTATTATCTCCTTCCTTCTGATTACTGTGGGATTTTCCTGTTGCTGTTTTTCTAGTTTTTATGTTGCAAGGTTAGATAACTTATTACCATTTTTTCTAGTTTTGTGAAGTAGGCTCATAGAGCTATAAAATTCCCTGTCAGGAATACATTCATTGTGTCCCACAGATTTTGGATTGTTTTGTTTTCATTGTAATTTGTTTCCAGGATGCTTTTAATTTCTTCTTTGGTCTCTTTGGTAACTTAGTCGTTTTTTAATAGCAGCTATTTAGCCTCCAAGTGTTTGATATTTTTTCATTGTTTTTATTGTAGTTGATTTCTAGTTTTATGCCATTATAGTCTAAGAAGATGCTTGTTATGATTTGTATCTTCTTGTATTTGAGAAGAATTTGCCTATGTCCTAATATGTGGTCTATCTTTGAAAATGTTCCAGGTGCACCGGAGAAGAATGTATATTCTGTAGCTCTGGGGTGAAATATTCTAAAATGTCAATTATATTTATATGCTCTAGTGTAGGGGTGTCGAACTCAATCAGAGAAGGGGCCAAAATCTAAAATCCGGCCTAAATCGTGGGCCGAATGGTTTACTGAACAGTCATAAACTGTCATTGTGATGGAAATGCAGTGGAGTGCAGTGATGACAGCGCGGTGCGGGCCACATTGCAAGGCCTGGTGGGACGGATTTGGCCCGCAGGCCTTGTGTTTGACACATGTGCTCTAGTGAGTCATTTAGGATTGCTATTTCCTTGCTGATTTTTTGATTAGTTGATTTATCCAACTAATCATTGGGGTATTAAAGTTCTCTATTATGAATGTATTGCTATTGATATCTCCCTTGATGTCATCCAGAAGTTGTTTTATGTATTATATCTGGGTGTTTCTGTATTGGGTGCATATATGTTTACCAGAGTTATATCTTCTTGTTGAGTTGCTCCCTTTAGTATTATGTAGTGGCCTTCCTTATCTCTTGTTATGCCCTTTTTTGAGGTCTATTTTATCAGATATAAGTATCACAACTCCAGCTTTTTTCTAATTTCCAATTGCCTGAAAAATGTTTTTCCATTCCTTCACTCTCAGTCTGTGTAAATCCTTTGTTTTGAGGTGGGTCTCTTGCAGACAACAAATATATGGGTCATGTTTTCTTATCCATTCACCTATTCTGTGTCTTTTTGGATGTGCATTTATTCCATTTATATTTAATGTTATTATTGGTAAGTACTTGTTTGTTGTCATTTTTTTGTTCTTACTGTTTATGGTTCTTCTTCTCTTTCTGTTTCTTCTGTATACAGCAGTCCCCTTAGCATTTATTGCATTGCTGGCTTGTTGGTAATAAACTCTCTTAGCCCTTTTTTGACTGTGAAGCTCCTGATTCCACCTTTGATTTTGAATGATAGAGTTGCTGGGTATAGTATTCTTGGATTCAGTGCCTTGCTTTGTTTCACTTTGTATATTTCATTCTATTTTCTCTTGTCCTGGTGTGTTTCTGTTGAGTGATCCATTGATATTCTAATAAGAGATCCATTGTAGATAGTTTTCTGTCTCTCTCTAGCAGCCTTTAAGATTCTTAATTTGTCTTTGGTGTTTTCCAATTTAATTATGATGTGTCTTGGTGTTGGTTTTTTATGGTTCATCTTGTTTGGGATTCTATGCGCTTCTTGGAATTGCATAGTTTTTTTTTTTGTTTTTTTGTTTTTTTTTTTCCTTACCAATATCAGGGAGTTTTCATCATTATTTCTTCAAACAGGTTTTCTATATTTTGCTTCTCTTCCTCTCCTTCTTGTATCCCTATTATGCTAATGTTGTTTCATTTTTGTGTTGTCTCACAGTTTCCTAAGGCTCGCCCCTTGCTTTTTAAGTCTTCTTTCTAGTTGCTGCTGTGTTTGTGTGTTTTTTCCTACTTTGTCTTCTAATTGGCTGATGTGGTCCTCAGCCTCTTCTAGTCTACAGTTTAAGCCTTCCATTGTGTTATTTTTTGCAACTATATCGTTCTTCATCTCCTCTGGGTTCCTTTTCATGTTGGTGACATTATCATTCAGCTCCTTATAATTTTCATTGAATTATGTGTATTTGTCATTGAGTTGTGTGTATTTGTCATCCAGCCATTTAAACATCCATATAACCATTACTCTGAATTCTTTCTCTGATATGTTGCTAGCCTCAATTTCATTTAACTCCCTTCTGGTGCTATCTCTTTTTCTTTCCTTTGGGGATTCCCCCCCCCCCCCATGTTTTTTTATTATTATTTTTTTAAATTTTTTTATAATGTTTTAATTGTAGGTCCAATTGATTTGCTACCCAGGTTCTTTGGGGGATGGTGCTACTGGTGTGATCTATCAGGTCCCCTGAGCTTGTTAATCTAGTGTAGCTCCCTACTTGAGCTACTTGGGTTCTCTTGATGTAGGCCTGTAAGCTGGAAAGGTACAACTGTGGTGTCTAGAAGTCAGCAGTCATGGAGGGGTGTGTATAATTTTTGCTGTCTGTGCCCTTGATTGAAGTTGCACATGCCCAGTGGAGTCACCATGGCACCCAGAGACTCTCTGTTGGGGGTGATTGGTCTCAGGAGGCCTGTACTCTGGAAAGGCATGACTGCAGTGTCCAGAGTACTGTACTTGTGGGGTGGTAAGACTCAGCTTTTGCTCCTGTACCTGTGGTGGATAGGCACATGCTCCCAGTGGTGGCTCACAAGGTTACCTGCAGTGCATTTGACTGCAAGGGACCCTGAAGCATTCTGAAAGGCCCTGGCACTGAAGCTGCATAATTGAGGAGTCTATGGGCAGGTATCCAGGATGAGTGAATTCAGAATTTATACTGCCAGGGGGAGTGCATCCCTATTTGTCCAAGATCACTCACAGTGAGGATTCACAGCATCTCCTATAAGAGCCCTGTGGATATATGTGCTCAGGTTGCCTGCCTGTTGGAAATGCGTGTGACTGTAGAAGTGTGTTTGCTGAACCAGAGCTCTGATGCCCTTTGAGAGGCCCTGGCACTGTAGTTATGCAGCTGGGCTGCTTGTGGGAAGTAATACAGGAAGAGGGAATTAAATTTTTCTACTGTGGGCAGCACGTTCAAAACCAGCAGGGGCTCACAGCAGCTCCCCAGAGGACCCTGCAGAATCAAACCCATCAGCGACTCCCAGTGGCTCCCAGGCACTGCCTATAGAGTGGTGTGTCCTGTGCACTGAAAACGCGTGAATGTGGTGTCTGGAATTCTGCCTTTGGGGAAGGGGGAAGAAGCATTTACTGCTGCAGGAAAGTACATGTTTGCATGTGGAAGCCCCAGGGTCCATGGGTCTGTGGCTGGGGTAGCAGGATTTTGGCTGTAGTGTCTGCTGGTTGAGGACAGTGTCAAAGTTCTTTCTGGGTAGTGGTGCTGATGAGTCCCTAGAAAAGGCCACTGTCCCCTTCAAGATATCATGGGCTCCATGTCTGAGCCCTGGGAGTGCCTACAGTGTTAGGAGGCTCTCCTTGTCCAAGAGAACCTGGTCTGACAGCCCCTGCTGTTCCTGTGGGATATAACTGTCCCTTATACACACACACACACACACACACACACACACACACACTACATTTACACACTCTCTTTTCATTCCCTCACTCACTCCATTCCTCCCCTTCACCTCCATCCTGCCAGCCACCATCTTTCTGTCCATAAGTCACCCTATTGAATTTTTTGAGATAGTCTGAGGAGTATAAGTTTTAGTTCTTTCTTGAATGTTTGGTAAAACTCCCCTGCGAAGCCGTCTGGCCCCAAACTTTTGTTTGCTGGAAGCTTTTTGATGACTGCTTCAGTTTCTTCCATAGTTATTGGCCTATTGAAATTTTTGGATTCTTCCTGATTGAGTTTTAGAAGGTTGTGTTTTTCTAAGAATATATCCATTTCCTCCAGGTTGTCCAGTTTGTTAGAATAAAGTTGTGCGTAACATTTTTTAAATAATATTTTGTATTTCTATGGAGTCTGTTGTTATTTCTTTTCTTTCACTTCTGATTTTGTTTATTTGGGTCTTATCCATTTGTTTTTTGGTGAGCCAGGATAGAGGTTCATAAGTATATATATTTTTAATATATTGTATTGATTTTTTACTGAGAGGAAGAGAGAGAGATAGAGAGTTAGAAACATTGATGAGAGAGAATCGTCAATCAGCTGCCTCTTGCACCACCCCTACTAAGGATGTGCCTGCAACCAAGGTACATCCCCTTGACTGGAATTGAACCTGGGACCTTGTAGTCTGCAGACCGACGCTCTATCCACTGAGCCAAACTGGTTTCGGCCATAAATATATATATTTTTTATCCTTTCAAAGAACCAGCTCTTGGATTTATTTATTTATTTATTTATTTATTTATTTATTTTTGTCTCTAAGTCAATTATTTCTGCATTGATCTTTATTATCTCCTTTCTTCTGCTAACTCTGGGCTTTTCTTGTTGCTCTCTTTCTAATTCTTTAAGTTTTTGAGTTAGACATTTTCCTACCATGTATTGTTGTTTATTGTAGGAGGCCTGTAGAGCTATGAACTTCCCTTTCACGGCTGCTTTCACTGTGTCCCATAGATTTTGGATTGTTCTGTTTTCATTGTCTTTCATTTTCAGGTTGTTTTTAGTTTCTTCTTTGATCTATTTGGTAACCTAATTATTGTTTAATAACATGCTATTCTCCAGAAGTTTTTTCTTTTTAATGTATGTGGGAGCTCCTGTATTGAATATATATATATATATATGTATAGTCTCCTCTTGTTGTATTGATTTGTCTCTTGTTATGGTCTTCACTATGAGGTCTATTTTGTCAGAGACAAGTATTGCTACCCCAGCTTTTTCTTCATTTATATTTGCCTGAAAGTTATTTTTTCATGTCTTCACTTTCAGTCTATGTAAGTCCCTTGTTCTAAGGTGGGTCTCATGTAGACAGCATATATATATATATATATATATATATATATATATATATATATATATATATATATATATATAGTCATGTTTTCTTATCCAGTCAGTCACTCAATGTCTTTTGATTAGAGCATTTAATCCATTTAAATTTAATGTTATTGTTATATGTACTTGTTTGTAGCAATTTCTGTCCTTTATGGTCCTTCCTTTCTATTTCTTATTTTTACAGCATTTTCTTTAGTATTTATTACATTGCTGGCTTGGTAGTAATAAACTCCTTTTGCTTTTTTTTTGTTTGTTTGTTTGCAAAGCTCCTGATTTTCCATTAAATTTTGATTGAAAGTCTTGTTGGATAGAGTATTCTAGGTTTCAGTCCTTTGCTTTACATCATTTGTATACTTCATTCCATTCCCTTCTAGCTTTGTATGTTTCTGTTGAGAAATCAGTTGATAATATGATGGGGTATCCTTTGTAGGTAACTCTCTGTCTCTCTCTTGTAGCCTTTAAGATTCTCTTTTTCATTGACATTTGTCATAATAATTATGTCATGTCTTGGTGTGGGTCTTTCAGGATTAATCTTGCTTGGGATTCTCTGTACTTGTGCAACTTTTTTTCTTTCTTATACCAGGGAAGTTTTCTGTCATTATTTCATCAAATATATTTTTCAATCCTTGATGCTCTTTTCATCTGGCACCCCTATTATATGTATGTTACTTCATTTCATGCTGTCCCAAAGCTCCTTTAGCCTCTCCTCCTGCTTTTTAAATTTTTTCTCCAGTTGGTGTTCAGAATGGGCTTGTTTCTCTACCTTAATCTTCTAACTCACTAATTTGATTCTCTACTTCTTCTAGTCTACGGTTGAAACCTTCCATAGTGTTTTTTATTGTAACTATATCATTTTGATTTCTTCCTGATTTTTGCATAGGTTGTTAATTTTCTCATCCAACCAGCTTACAAACTGTATGACCATTACTCTGAATTCTTTTTCTGTCATATTGCATGCTTCAGTTTCATTTAATTCCTTTTTTGGTGATTCCTTTTTTCTTTCCTCTGGGGATTGTTTTGTTGTCTCCCAATTCTGACTATCACCAGAAGGTCCAAATGCTAAGTTAAGGGGGCTTAAGCTGTGCACTGTAGGAGCTTAATGCCACTCAAGTGTCGCTGAAGAGCTCCGACCCTGAGATGTGTGGCTGCCATGGGTCATTTGGAGCCATACACCCTGAGAATCAGAGTCACCAGTGCTCAGTGCAGCCTTGTGCATGCATGTAGAATCAGAGACCCTGCATGTGCCATGTTGAAAAAAAGTCCTTGCAGTCATATGCCAAAAACAGTCTCCTAGCACATACCAGGAGTCAGAGACCCTGTGTGCATGTGCTGAAAATCAGTATGGAAGTCTGTTGCTTGGTGAGGCCTCACACTGTGAGTCAGGGTCCCTGTGTGTGTGTATGTGCTGAGAATTGCAGTCATAGGCTTAGTGTGCATGCACTGAGAATATGGTATTCCATGTGCGCATGATGAGAAACAGAGTCCTCACGTTTGTTCCCTGAGAGTCAAGACACTGGTGCTCAGTGTTGCATCTTGCATGAAGAATCAGGGTCCCTAGTCTACTTGGGGGGCTGGGTTACACAGCCAATCTGTGCCAGTGGGAGGCCCACTCCTGAGCCACAGGAACAGACTCCCTTGTGCGTGCTGTGCCCAGAGTCAAAGTTAAGTCACACCCCATGTCAGCAGGGAGCCTGTTTATATGGAGCGGGTTTGGAAGGTCCTATGCCATCCCAGCTGCAGCAGGCTGGCAGGGAGGGTGATGTGCTCCATGACTCATAGTAATAGGTGTCCAGAATGTCTAGAATCTTGGTGTCCGTAGGTCTACAGGTCTTTGTCCCAAGTGATTGTAGGGTGCTGGCTTATGTCTGAGACCAGATGAGATTGTGGTGAGACTAGGGTCCTAGTTGTAAGCAGTCCTGCTCTTCAAGATGGCATGGTCTCTGTTCTCATGCTGGCCACTCTGGAATGTCCAGGTGTTTGTATGATTTTTAAATACTAAGTGTGACTCTTCTTGCTCAGTGGTAGAGAGAAAGTATGGCATTTCAGAATGCTTTTCTCAGAGCAGAGTGTCATGCCAAGCCTTTTTTTTCCCCATGAAAAGCTATGGGGAAACTCACAAGTGGGAACTGCTGCTGGTTTCAGTTTCTATTAGATTTAGTAGGCATGATGGTGATCTCTAGGGACCCCTAGCAGATGTGGATTTCTACCAGTGGGTCTTGGCTGGACAGGACTGGCTCAAGATCAACTTGGAAAATATGAGCTTATTAATCCCAGGCCTTGGCCTCTTTTCCTGTGTCTTTTACTAGCCTCAGCATCAAGTGCCCTCTTTGGGACCTTTTTCAAGTAGGAAAGTCTGTAATAAACCTCAGTCTAGATGGAGTTTTACAGATTCTTCCTCAAAAATCCATATGCATTTCAGAAGACAAATTTCCTATAGAAAAATCCTGTAACATGAAGCAGCTACAATTTATTCAGCAATTACTATGAACCAGGCAGGTCCTATCCTAAGATTTTTAACATTTTACATCATGATTACAGTTCATCCTCAGTTTCTCTATGAAGCAGATACTATTGTCTTCCCCATTTTATAGGTAGGGAAAAGCAAAACTCATGAAATGTTACTAATGAACAATGTTTCTGGTCAGTGGCAGCTGAGGTATTCAGAGAAGGCTTCCTGAAAGAGGCCTAGTAAATGTCCTTGCTCAGAGTAATATTCAAAAATATTTGTTTAATATGTTTTATAATAAGGTATTTAGACTTTATCCTATAGATTAGGGGTGTCGAACTCAATCAGAGAATTGAGTAGAAATCCACTGGTAGAAATCCACATCTGCTAGGGGTCCCTAGAGATCACCATCATGCCTACTAAATCTAATAGAAACTGAAACCAGCAGCAGTTCCCACTTGTGAGTTTCCCCATAGCTTTTCATGGGAAAAAAAAAGGCTTGGCATGACACTCTGCTCTGAGAAAAGCATTCTGAAATGCCATACTTTCTCTCTACCACTGAGCAAGAAGAGTCACACTTAGTATTTAAAATCTAAAATCTAAAATCTAAAATCCAGCCTAAATCACGGGCCGAATGGTTTACTGAACAGTCATAAACTGTCATTGTGATGGAAACGCAGCTGAGTGCAGTGATGACAGCGCGGTGCGGGCCACATTGCAAGGCCTGGCGGGACGGATTTGGCCCGCGGGCCTTGTGTTTGACACATGTGCTATAGATAACAGAGATTCATTCAAGGCTTTATTTTTCTTTCAGAAATTTACATAAAGTTACATGAAGGCAGGGACTATGTTTATAACCAAGGCATAAAGCACAGCATCTGACAAATAGTAAGTGTTCAATAAATGTTTATTGCACAAATATAAGAAGCAATCACTGCATATGTTTGGATAAACTATGTCAAATAAAATTTCTGTAAACACAAGTACATACAATAAACTCCTGACATACTGTGGTTAAGGCCATTATATATATATATATATATATATATATATATATATATATATATATATATATATATATGCCTGAGCAACTGTCCTACTATTCAACCATCCAATTGGTATCTATGATGCAAAATGACCACCAGGGGGCAGACGCTCAGACCAGTAGCTATGAGGCACACTGACCACCAGGGGGCAGACAATGCAGGAGCTGCCAAGCTACAGTGACTTGGTAGCTGCAGTTTTTGGGTTATGCACCAGAACCAGAAAGAATGGAATGCAATTCAAGGAAATGTCACCTGAAAATTGCCCTCTTGCAATCTAAGACCCCTCAGGGGATATTGGAGAGCCAGTTTAGGCCCGATCGCCACAGGCCAGGTTGAGGGACCCCAGGCCTCTAGTATATACTAATAAAAGAGTAATATGCT